TTATCTATTTGGTATAAATTGATATTGTTGAGGCAATAATATATAATACAAAGTAGTTATAGAATCGACCGACCTTCCATGTTAGTTAAGTCTTTAGATATTCGTAAAATAACATAATTAAATTTGAAATTCAGATTCGTAGAGTTAACTACGATCTATTTTGGATCATTCAGATTGGCGATCTCTATTAACTGTTTAATCGAGAATGTAATTTAATGTAATTTATTGTTTATTGAATATTTTATATTCACGTTCATGCATATATATATATATATATATGTAAGTGTTCTCTATTTTATAAATAGTTTACTTTTTGGGTTTTAATTTTTTACTTTTCCTTTGTTATGCATACGATATAATATAGGGATTTAAAAATTTTAATTATTCTTCTATATGTTTATATATATTATGTATGTAATTTGGTTATCAAACAAACGGGTGGGGGTAATGTTACATTTATTGTTTTGTTTATGATAAGAGAAAATGAATATTTGATTCTTTATATTTTACTACTAATCAGTGAGTAAATTCTTCCGTTGATTTATTTAAGTCTGTTCGGTTGATGTATTGTAAAAAATCTTCCGAAACAAAAAAAAAAAACCAAACGACAAACAATTAAAAACCTTAGCTTTGGGGTGAGTTTTGATTTTTCCATCACTCACACAATCTCAAAGTAGTTTCGGACTTTGCAGTGACCTGTATTTGCGTTAAACTTGTCGATCAGTCTCGCTAAGCATCTTCATCAGATTCCAAGTTAATGTTTGGCTTAAATTGGACTAAGTCCATTTCCACATTTGACTTAGCACCGTCAATTAAGAGTACAAGTACCAAGCGTTAGCATTTTATTTGACTTTTGGCGAAAAGAAACATTTTGTAAGAAATTTACGACCCGACAGGGAATGACCAAATGGACTAGAAATGTTTTGTGGATTAAAAATATGTAAACAATAGAACGTTTCTGGGTATAACAATGGAACAATGGAAATTTACCTTTCAATTAATAAATCGTTATATCATCTAACTACATCCTTGTAATGGTGACGTGGTTATGGGAACACATTAGCTACTCAAATAGCGAAATAGGTATCAAAATAATCTCGTCGAAAAGTTCAGACCACAAATCTATTTTATTAAAACATGTACACTTTACTTTGGAAAGAATATTCAGACGACCATACATCTTTTCACTTTGATGGCCGTAACGGTATCACTAACAGTTCCTCTATTCTAAGTACATTTCAAGATAATCAATCCCGAGAAATGTTTCAAATTGATATGAGTTATCAAAATTTCAAAATTTCAAAATTTACGGTATCTTTTAGGTATGTTTGACTCTTTCGCCAAAAGCAGACAGATTGAAGGGGCCAATAATGACCATTTCCAAGTATGCTGGGGTCTCTTGCTCCCCAGACGTATAACATGACGACTGCCAGAAAGAAGGAAGGAAAGAAAAAGAGTTAGGATCTGGGTGCAGTCTAGACCGAAGAACCAACAAATACTTAGTGGGGAGACGTCTACATCTACTAATTCTACTTACTAATGCTAATCTATAGTGTGTATGGTTTGTAGAGTTTATTGCTAACGTTTTGATAAAATGCGTTTACCACAACTTCTTGATGATGTGTTTAGGAAACGGTATCGTGGTTGCGCAGAAGTTTCGAAAAGGGCTACAGCAAGATTACTTCCTCAAAATTAATTGCATAAGCTTTCAGGAATGAATTATGTTTACTCGGTATAGTCCTTTTCCAAGCACGGTTTTGTTTTTTTGTAGATCTGACCAATCACTTAGGGGATATCCTCACGACGTGCATCATGGTGATGGTTAGAAAGAAGTGAAAAAGAAGAAGCAGGTAATGAGTGGCGCCAGTCAAGAGTATACGTGCCCAATCAGTAATTAAGCGCTACGTCTTTACTGATAGAATTTATTATTTTAATACTAGCAGGTATTGTCTACTGCATTGGGATTTTATTTGTTGTCACTGTTACTTACGACAATATGCGTCAAGTTTGAGTGTGTGTGGCTTCATTATGGTCGCGAAAATTCTAAAATGGATTAGATTTTCCGCCGATGTACACAAGTATACACATTCTTTGGTTTGTCCCTGAAGTTTCGTTCTGGGCATTAAATGCCACTGACGATCGTAAGACAGAATTCGTGTCAAAATGACCGCAATGCGCCACGAATGTATGCAGAACAAACTCGTATCACTGTTGTATGTTGTTTTTTGAATGACGGGATCATCTGCCATTAAAAAATATGTTCACAGATCTGTATGCATATCAGTAAAGATTAGATTTAGATTATGCTTGTTAGCTGCTCTCAGCTTTATAGGCTTCTTAATCGTTATAGTGGAAATATAGTTCCCACCTTATTACGAGGAGAGATTTTCTTCTTAAGTCAAAAAAAAAAAAAAAAAAAAAAAAAACAAATTTAAAAATTTAGTTTTCCTTCACACACACGCCTTTTATTTTAAAAGTGATTTAAGTCCATTTAGCTGAAAATCACGAATAATTTTGAGGCTTTTGTTACGCGACAGCAAAAAACAGACTTAGTCCATTTCGAGAATAAACGATTCAGATAAAGAATGGTATTTCAAATTTTTCTATAGATATAATTACGTCTACTAAGTATAACATAGATATTTGTGCACAAAAAGACATCGACAAAAATTGATTCTTTTTTTAAGAATATTAACTAAGTAGTTGAACGACTTAAATTGCATTTATATAGGGGTGCATGACAATAAAGTGCTTGGAAATTATAATAATAATAATTTCCAGAGAGAGATTTTTTAACGGTTTTAATAGAATTTAAATATTATCTCCATAGTCTTAAGTCTTGCATAGCATGTTTCATCTAAATAAAATGTTTTGAAAGAAATTGAAAAAAGAAACCAAAAAAAAAAAAATAAAAACACTTGTCATTAAAATTTGATTATGTTTGTAGTTGTAAAGCATTTTAAATGCTTAATATGCTTGTGTATATGTAAATTAATTGCACATAAAAAGTTGACATCGATTATAATTTCTCTCTTTAAAAATTGAATTTTTTTTTTCTCTCCTTTTTTTGCATTTAATATCTTGCTTTGTAGAGTGCAGATGGTTTAGTTAGTGAACGTTTCTTTTTGTTGACCATCAAACGTTTCTTCCCGTAACCTGGTTAAGAGACGGAGCATTAATATTTTTCAAAATTTTTTTTTAAAAAAGAAAAAAAAAAAACTTACGAGCTCGCATGTTATCGTTATAGTCACGATGACGATTCTCTTTTTCTTTTAAGGCTAAATTATATTTAGGTAAAGGTTCCATATTTACGGGTGCTCCATAATAATCTACAAGCGCTGGTGCGTCATTCCAATTATCATTATTATTATTATTATTGTTATTGTTATTATAATCGAAATTATCATCGATTGCGGGATAATCGTAAAAACCTGCATTCGGAGTCATACCATACGCTTTAGGTGCATAGTTATCGTTTGGATAGCCATTGTAACTATTGGTGCTATCGTGATCGGTCTCTTTTCGGGCACGTTCACCTGCCTCAACCAAAGCCACCAAAGCCAACATATCCGCAGGTGTAAGTTTATTATCCCGTTTAGGTCTTCTTATAACAAATTTAATAAAGTAATGCTTTACGTTTAATTTAATTATTATTTCCTTACCTCATATCTGGATAATTTCTGGCCAATTCACTGAAAATTCTATAAGCTTTTTTGTTACGCTCCGCTTCCAAATCTGCGTAACGTTCATAGTTATACGGTAATATCGCCGAATCTAGGTGATACTCAGCATTTAAAAGATTTTGCAAATCATCATAAGCTTGCTTCTTATAATTTGGAACTGCTGTTAATAGATAAATCATTAAAAATTAATCCAAACAGAATATAATTATTTTTAAATTAAATTTGGCTAATTGAAAATTTGGCCGAGAAGTTATACAAGACCACCTGTCAGATATTTTACAATAAAACGAATCTCTTGAGGCCCCTCAACGAAAGCAATCATTTAAAGGACACCTCTAGTCCCAATAAACCTATAGAATTGCTATACGTTTAACGATCGCCTTCTTTGTGAAATAAGAAAGGAATTATAGTCGGTTGAGGGAGGATTGTTTTGATTTTATTATCTCTTCGTCAATTTTTGACCCTTTAACGACAAACTTGATGATATATCGGCACTTGGGGTAATTAGGCGGACGCAGTATGTAATACAAGTCACATCCAACTGATTGTGGACTCCGTGAAAATTCGTCTTTATTAGCGATGTTCTCAATGTTTCATTGGCTACGAAATAGCAGCGCTTTCCCTCGAATTAAGTAGGAAAAGTAATATTTCTCCCATATAGTGTTTATGGCACCGAAAGTGACCTGTTTCCAAGACCTCCATAATTATAATAACATAAAGCATTAAGTTTAACAACTAAGAGAATTATATTCGATGGTAAGCAAATCTTTTATACCTATGGCCCTTATCTTATAAAGAAAAAAAAGAGTTAAATTTTCATACTTTATAATAATGGACGGCTGCAGCAGAACTGTAAATGGAGAGAGAGACAAATAGAGAAATTTTGTACTTTAAAAACAACGACAGAAAAGTGATACAAGGGCAGATGATAGTGATCTTTGCACTACATGCCCATTATAACTGAATTTTGAGCAATGGTTAAATTCGTTCTTTTCTTTTACTCTACGGCTATAGATCTCGGAGAATAAGATTATTCTGAGTTCATAGGCATTTTAACAAGTATCTTATAGTATAATAGTAACACTTTAAATCACCCGGGCCAAATATAAATCACTCAGGCTTATCCAAAGCTGTAGACTTTCTTTTCTCTTACATTGCTAGTATTCTAGTTAACATCTAGACCAAACTTCGTGACAATGTTTTCCATAGTTATTAATAGTAAGGATGAATTGTCTCATTTTAATATTTTGTTTTGATTTTACCTCTTCAATCGAAGCTAGTTGATGTCTAGATGGAACGATTTTTTGAATTTCGAGAATAGCCAAAAATCAAAAGAAATTAAATCAAGTGCATAGACTAGTTGAAGAATGATAAAAGTGGAATTTCCGGTGAGAAAATCTCGAGGAATCAATACAGTGTAAAGAGATGCAACAATGAAAGCGTGGTTGTTCATAGCGTTGGCGAATAGCTCCACAGACGTGATGCGATTACGTTCAAATAGTATTCCCTATTAATAATTGTAATTGGCAAAAGTAATGAACGACTCCATGACAATCGAACAAAATTTACTTTGCTTGCTTTTTGTTCACATAGAATAGATGAAGAGATTGAGTACGTTTGTGAGGGAAGAGAGGTTATGAATTTGTACAATTCCAATTCAAATTTTCTTTTAGATTCGCTTCGAAAGTGTAAATTAAATTTAGAACCTTTTTTTTTGGTAACTATGCTGGAAATGCTTTAAGATTCTAAATTGATGGAGCAAACCAATGTCAGAGATCAGCTGCGTAGGTTAGGGGTTTCCAAATAAAAATCTATTAACAGATTTTCACATTGCTTTGTCAACTGATTACCTTCAAGCTCTGCATATATATGATTCGACATAGACATATCCAAGCTTTAAAGGTCACTTAGGTGGGCAAAGGAAAGATTTGAGTTAACAAAGAAAAACTTTAACTTCATTTAATCGTATATATATATTAGCCTTTTGCTGATGCATGCAACACCCAGAGAGAATACCTACCGATCAATTCAGAATCGGAATCTTTCCGAAACAATTTAATCTTATCCGTCCGTCTGTCCATCCAGTTTTCTTTCGTTCAATCTAAAGGTCTCAATATTTGTGATATTTTGATGAAATTTTGAAATTTGTTTTGACGCATGGACGAACGCTATTGAAAATGGTTCGATCAGGTCACTTCCTATATACCACTTTATATTGAAAAATCGTTGCATCAGTAGCTAAAGTATTTAATGACGGGTGAGCTGTGTCCCTTATAGTGTTTTCACTTCTTCAATTTTAGAAGACAGGCTTGCCTAGTCATACATACATACATATTCTATAGGGAGTTCACAGATGGAACTGTAAATTTAAAATTTGTATTTAATGTTAAGATGGATTTAGTGAAGAAAGACATCATTTTTCAAAAGTGATATCTGCGACATATGAAAACGTGTATCATATATGTGTGTATCATCTCCATTTCGCTATATTCTCAATTAGCCTTGTCTCTTTTAGCTTTACTTCTCTGCTTACCTCTCTGCGGTTCATATTCATCCATATCTGTGTAAACTATATTATCATTGTCTAGATCTTCACCCCAAACCCCTCGGTTGAGGCCATCGTCATTTACTGCCATATATCCCCCATAGGGATTGTAATAGGCCGCATTATCATACAACAATGGTTCATTGTTAGCACCATATAAGTACTGTTGATTATTGACGCCACGTTTATTAATCACAGCTGCATGATCATCGTCATTATCATCATATTCGTCATTAGCGTTTTCGTTTCTAATATTGTTACGGTGGCGTTGTTTCTTTAAATTTTCAAGCTCCGCTTTAACAGCAGCTGCTGCCAAGCGCGCCGCTATTATTGAACTGATCAACTCATTTTTACTATTTGCTACATCGTCGTCATCGTTATAAGAGGAAACGCTATTACTATGCTCTTGCAAAGGAAACTTTTGTTGATGTTGAGGTTTCGATTCAGGGGTAGAGATTTCTGGAAGTTTGTTGTTGTTATTAAAAGAGGCTGGTACTATTTCCGGGCTACTCTTTTTATTTTTATTAACATCAGTAATAACGTTCTGGTGATGTGTTAGAGCTTCATTCTGTTTAGAAGTATCACTTGAACGCTTCACTATAAAGAAAATATTTTATATGACTAACTTTTAGAACGATTTGTAAAACAATTCAGGTTAGTGCTATGATTATTACTGTTAATTCCCTATCTATTGTATCATTGGTGTCATAGCCTCAGTTGCAGGTGTTAAGCGAACATTATTGGCTGCCTCTTAGTTTCTTATTGTCATGTATTGTTATTATATTTTTTTTGTTGTGAACACTATTCAGTGATTATTGATTAAGTGTGATTATAAGAAACGATGGTCCCGTTGCTTTTCAAGTCTCCGAAAAGCGAAGCGGGCGAAAGTGAAATCGAAATCGAGGATGTAAGCAATGATAACATTGCTGAGGATATCATCAAATACTATTCAAACACTTCGAGCAAGACGTTTACAGAAGGAGGAGGAAGTTCTATACTGGGATGTCATACAATCTGTTCCCCAACTACTTGGGAATGTACGCTTACGTAACTGTACTTTAGTCTAGAATGCACATCCAGGCATACACGCTTAAATTCCATCATTATAAAGAAGATCATCGGTTAAAAGCACAGCAAAGTGTGAAGGGAACAAGCAATGCGCAATCTCCAAACTTGTTCTCTTTTTCTTTTTCGCGTCGGGTTTTTCGGTTTTGTAAATTATTATTCCATATCGTTTTTAATCGTAAAAAATTTTGTTCAAAAAAGCTTGCGTCACACTATATTTTAGAGTTAAAATACTAAACGGAAATATATATATTTTTTTCGATGTTGAGTTAAGACGGACTATATGGGATACAAGTCCAAATAACTATTATGTAAATATTACTAAAAAACTTGCTTACAAAATGCGCTCCACTACGCTGAGATTCCAATCTGCAACCACCGATTTTGCAATCGCGAGTCTTTTCGCCTCGGCTATGTGCTAACCGGAGAAGCTAAACATATCTGTTACTGTGACTTTGTCTGCCCAAATTCAATCAAAAATTATACAATGTTTTCGTAATGTTCGAATTAAGAACTCTAGCCAAGTATCTATCTATGTTTAAAATTTTCACATATTTTTAACAAAACTTGAAAGTGACAATTTAATAAGCGAATCGTTCTTGATCTTGAGAATGACAATGATAATAGTCATAGTAGTCATAATCATACTTATTGCCGACTTGTTTTCGACTTTTTCGTTGATATCTACATATATATATATATATATATATATATATATATATCCAGAGGTTCATTTCACAACAATGGCCTATGATTCTGAAATAAACTGTGCACTGATTAATTCTTTTTTCTTCATCGTCCTTGTTATTGTTATTAATATTTTTTTGCTTAGCATATTCTTTTTATATGGGATGTTCTCACATAAAAAGTAAATTTTTTATGGCTGTACGTCAAACTGTGTATTATTTAATGAAAATTCCCATATTAAATAATTAAACTACTGCACCCGAAATTGTAACTTTTTAAATGATACCAAAAATTTTCATTGATGCTGATGATGTTAATGAAGCGTCCACGTAATGTAAGCGGATTCCCATCGCAATCCATTGTTCGCCCCTTACAATACAGCACCATGTTTATATATGTATACAAATATATATACACATATGTACAATGTACACACATTAATATATGTAAAGTATATTCGTTCAGTCCAAATAAAA